AAACTGAGCGTACGGCCAGCTCCGGCCGAGATCGTGCACAGGAACATGCGCTTTCTCATCACGGACCGACCAACTGACACCAACATCTCTCAGTACATGGAGGTGAGTAGATTCTTGTAGCAAGCTTACTTGCTGCATCCGCAGCTGTTACTGCCTGTTGTAAAAACCCGTTTTGTGTATGTAAAAAGCTGAACCTTTAACACACTGTTTACCCTTTTCCCTGTCCTAATTTTAATGTTAAGTGTTATAGGAATCTCATTCTACGGGACATTTAAAAACAATGTTCGAAGTGCATGCAAACCATAGCTCTAATTACTGCAAGGTTTTGTTTCTTGGTGTTTTACTATATGGGTTTAAATAATTTTAGAGCTACACATGTATGCAGATATATATATATATACAAGTTACAACCACAAGTTTGAAAGCAATCATTTGTGCCAAGATCATATGCTTAAAATAGTGTAATGGATAGTTTGTCCTTGATTATGTCAGTGTGGATAAGCCTCCTCGTGAAATTAAACAAATTTACCATGTTTATTTATCTTAAGTTTTCTTACAGGAATATGAACCAATTACAATTGCTTTCACACAATTAAAACAATGTTAAAATAAATTATCAGCAAAGTAGCCGAGTCTATCAAAACCATACCAGCCTCACTTGTTTGCATTCAACTATCACAACATGGTTTTAATTAAAAGCTCAAGGCAAGCTGCACCGCGCCTGCACTACGAAATTTTATAAACAGCGAATCACAGCCATCTAGGTGCTATCATCTGCATGTGACAAAAACATTTCGTAATGAAAATTGGGCTGCTCTGCTATCTTCGGATTGCAATGTCGTGTGTCAGACAGACCATTAAGATGTTCAGAGAAATACGGTTTTATATGATCCGGGGTATAAATTTGTCATGCACGGCTGCCCCGTTAAAATAAAACATTTGATTACTCTTATTGTTTGATTATCTTGTGGGGGGGGGGTCAATGTTAAGCTTGTGTCACATGCAACAGTCTTACAAACTTAAAATGTCTGTCATTGTGTAGCAAGAAAGGAGACGAATTTTGACCTAATGCCAGTAACGCCTGTACTGTGTTTTGATATTGAGTTGGCCTTTATGATCTACGTTGCCATGTTTTTGACGTATACAAAAGGTGGTACGTGCGTGCAAATGTGGTGGTAATCTGAGCATTCTCTTGCTACCGTGAAATGTATGATACTGATAGTCGTATTCGCACTGTCTATGTAGATCAACTCTAAAGCCGGGCGCACACGTGGCGATTTTTATCGACAGTAGTGTCGATAAAAATCGCCACGTGTGCGGCACCCGGCGACAATGCAACCATCTGTCAGCAACATACCACTGTATGAACTGTACGTGACCTGTTCAAACCACACCACGGGCGCTGCCATATTTGAGTCGATTCAATGCTCCATAACTGAGATCATACACATCACAAAATTCTCTCTGATTTACTGTCGGACTCCCTGATTTGACATATATGCAGGAGTCTGTGTGTCAGACTCCCTGAAAATTCTGCCACACTAACTAGTTCGTTCCAGAACTCGGCCTCGCAGAATTACCATATTTTTTCAGCAAATGTCCAAAGAAAATTTGGCAGACGTGCAACTGCATGAATCTTCAAAATAAGCACACGTGCGTTATTGTTAATATCTTTAATTTTGACCTTCAGACTCTCGTTGGACTCCCGTGTTCAAAAGTTAAATTCTACCCCTGTATGTGTGAGTGTTCTAAGATATATGAGCCTTACTCTATATACTTTGTGTTATGGAAAGAGTACCGGTTAGTATCAGATTCATGGAGATATATATGCAGATTTGTGCACATATAAGTCAACATCAATAGCAAATGATTCCCACATCTCACAAGATGTCATCAACTGGTACCCTGTCTGTACACCTTGTTACCTTTATCTACTTATTGACTAAGGATACCAGTCTAGATAGACCAATTTATGTCACAGAGTCGGCAGCAGTTTCATTTGTGGTACTCTTTTCAGATTCGATGTTCACACATCACAGGAATGCACGTCACGTGCAAGTTTGGTGTTCATTTGCTGTTTTATAGCCTATACCTCTTACTCAAACTTACGTTCGTTGGTTGATATTTGGAAAGTTACAAGAATTTTGGCTTATTTAAATTTTGCAATGCCCCAACGAGGCATAGATATATATACACAAAGAAGTCGAGTTCCTCCAGAGTTGGTGTTGAAATTTTACTCTGCACATAAATATGACTTTTTTTTGGATGTAAGATTGCAAGGCAAGGTTTGAACAAGACTGTCTTATTCAATTACTTATTCTCTGTATCATTCATTTCTACATATATATATATGACTAAATGTTCTACATATAACTTGATTTTCAGGTAATTTGCTATCATACTAATTTCTGATTTTAGAGGAAATTCAAGTGTCACTGACTGATTGTTGTACAACTTCTGATGAGTGACCGTGTGATGCACCACCCAATGTTCACAGGCAACACAATTATTGATAATTTTGTAAGTATGTTGTTATTAAGTATAATGTTTTTTTAAGAGTAATCTGCACAGGTTTCAGCTTTAATATCCAGTATAGGTAACAACATATGATTATATGCATGCTGTATTGTGTGTTACATACGTACTTAGCTTCTTCAATTGCAACTTTTACTTTATTTTGTATTTTGTTGTTTTAGTTCTTTGGAGAGCACTGCCAGAGCTCCACAAGATTTGGTAAGGCAAATGGGGAGTACTGCAGGGCACAACACGGCAACTAAACCTGTAGCCAGAGTGCTTAGGACCTATAGGCAATTATTCAGCCAGAGTAGGCAATTCTCTCTCATGTGTGTGTGATACCGACTAACAAATTGCACGAAATCTCGAATGGGGTAAGCCACGTCAAGTGCACAGCTCGTTGTGAATTGTGACCAGAACGCGAACCTGGATCAGCTGTCGGAGTCGTCAGCGTAACTCAACCTGATTGAACATATCAAGCAGAAGCTTAGCAAGATGAACAGCAGCAAACTGAGCGTCCGGCCAGCTCCGGCCGAGATCGTGCACAGGGTAGGAAGCATGCCGCTTTCTCATCACACGGACCGACCAACTGACACGACATCTCTCAGTACATGGAGGTGAGTAGATTCTTGTAGCAAGCTTACTTGCTGCATCCGCAGACTGTTACTCTGCCTGTTGTAAAAACCCGTTTTTTGTGTATGTAAAAAGCTGAACCTTTAACACACTGTTTTACCCTTTTTCCCTGTCCTAATTTTAAATGTTAAGTGTTTATAGGAATCTCATTCTACGGAAACATTTAAAAAATGTTCGAAGTGCATGTAAGCATAGCTCTAATTACTGCAGGTTTTGTTTCCTTGGGTAGTTGTTAACTATAAAGGTTAAATAATTTTAGAGGCTACACATGTATGCAGATATATATATATATACAAGTTACAACCACAAGTTTGAAGCAATCATTTGTGCCAAGATCATATGCTTAAAAGTAGTGTAATGGATAGTTTGTCCTTGATTATGTCAGTGTGGATTAAGCCTCCTCGTGAAATTAAACAATTTACCCATGTTTATTTATCTTAAGTTTCTTACAGGAATATGAACCATTACAATTGCTTTCAGCACAATTAAAACATGTAAAATAAATTATCAGCAAAGTAAGCCGAGTCTATCAAACATCACCAGCCTCACTTGTTTGCATTCAACTATCACAACATGGTTTTAATTAAAAGCTCAAGGCAAGCTGCACGCGCGCCTGCACTACGAAATATTTTATAAACGGCGAATCACAGCCATCTAGGTGCCTATCATCTGCATGTGACAAAAACATTTCGTAATGAAATTGGGCTGCTCTGCTATCTTCGGATTGCAATGTCGTGTGTCAGAGCAGACCATTAAGATGTTCAGAGAAATACGTTGTATATGATCCGGGGTATAAATTTGTCATGCACGGCTGCCCCGCGTTAAAACTAAACATTTGATTACTCATATTGTTTGATTATCTTGTGGGGGGGGGTCAATGTTTAAGCTTGTGTCACCATGCAACAGTCTTACAAACTAAAATGTGCTGTCATTGTGTAGCAAGAAAGGAGACGAATTTTGACTAATGCCAGTACCACCTGTACTGTGTTTTGATATTGAGTTGGCCTTAATGATCTACGTTGCCATGTTTTTGACGTATACAAAGGTGGTACGTGCGTGCAAATGTGGTGGTAATCTGAGCATCTCTGCTTGCTACCGGTGAAATGTATGATACTGATAGTCGTATTCGCACTGTCTATGTAGATCCACTCTAAAGCGGGCGGCACACGGTGGCGATTTTTATCGACAGTAGTGTTCGATAAAAATCGCCACGTGTGGGCACCGCCCGGGACATGTAACCATCTGTTCAGCAACACACCACTGTATGATACTGTACGCGACCGTTCAAAACCACACCCGGGCGCTGCCATATTTGCATCACGTGTTTCAAATCATGCATTTGAGTTGTTGATCCAAAAACTGTTGCCTGAATCCGTCGCCTGGTCAGCGCACACATAGGCGATTGGTTCAGCGACTGTTGCAACAAATATCAAATCGTGTTTGATATTCCAGCGACGGAGTTTTCCTGGGCGTCAAATCGCGGACCCGTGCAGCGCACACATGGGCGATTTCTCGGGCAGTACTGTCGATAAAATCGCCACGTGTGCGCCGGGCTTTAGAAACGATCAGAGTGTCTTACAGGACATGTCACACGTATTAGCCTACAGACGTTCAGTCTCAAAGCTGCTTCAGTGTGCCACGTAGATGAAGTGGTTGTTATCATTATGGTGAAGCCATTATCTCAGCACACATTGGATGCCAGCTATGCAAGTCAAATTGTATGGCTTGGCCATTCATATTGTAATGTAAGAACGAAGATGCCAAC